GTTGCATTTTGTAGCTTTTGTCTTTTTCTTTAAGGCAATCATTGTCACTTCTGTAAAGTCCTTGGGCCACTCCCCAGTTTCATATATGGTGTTTATTAGTTTTATCAGTGTTTTCAAACCACCTTCTCCCAGCAACTGAAGCACATCTCCAGGTACATCATCATCTCCTGTAGCCTTTCCCTTCCTCATTTCCTTGATAGCTTTTTCCACCTCACTTTGTAAAATATATGGTCCTTTCTCGTCTGTATCTACTTCTTCTTCCGGTTCAACTTCTAAGGTTTCTGGCCGATTAGGTCAATCATATAGTTCTGAAATATAATTTTCCCAAATTTTCAGCACTTGCCTCTGATCTACTATTCTATTCCCCAGGGAGTCTTTGATTCCAATATTTTGAATCCCATGATTCTCTTTCCATTCTCTTTCTTTTGTCTTCATGTACATCAAATCATAACGTCCTGTTCTTTGAAATTCCATAATCTCATTACATATCTTCTCAAGATATTCATTTTTGGCCCCGTCTGTGGCTCTTTTCAATTCATTCCTCAGTCTCCTGTATTTCCTCCTGCCTTCTTCATTGTTGACATTCTTCCATTTCCTTCGCTCCTCCATTTTACTCATCATCTCCTGTGTAACCCATGGTTTTCTTGCTATCTTCTCAACTTTACCAACCAAATCACTGATAGTATCTAACATGCATTCTTTTATATTGTTCCACTGCGCTTCAGCATTTCCGCTTTCACCTTCAATTGCACCGAGTTTCTCTTCTAGGGTTTCTTGCACGCTTTGTCTTTGAGCAAAAGATATTTCAGGAAAATAATCAATATAATTATGTACATAAAATTTTTTACAGTGCACTTATTTTAATTGAACATCCATGTTGATCACTTTATTTATTCGATTGTACTCCAAAAATTAAGAAATAAGAACAAGAAAAGATTCTTTTGAGGTTGATTTTCTATAAACAAAATTCATCAGGAAGCAGTTAATAGATAATCAGAGAAAGAGGTTACTTGCAAGACCATGATGCAGAAAAAATGGAGGCATTTACAAGGACACGTTGGATTTAGGGGGCTAAAATGCAGCACAACGGTTTTCTGACAATACCAGAATTTCTATTATTGATATGGAATATTAATCCGTATCATAGCATTGTGAATGTTTTACAAAGATTATTTCATTGATACTGATGACATGCAACAGAACTGGTTTATTTTCCCGTTCTTGGTTGTGGTTAGATCCTTCTCTCAATGAAGTACTCCAGATTCCTCACCCTTCTTTAAATTAAGAGGGTGTATAGCAAAACTGCTCCCAGACAGGAAAGGGTGATAGGTTAAACATACCACATATTTATATTTATCTTTGTAATGTTTCATTATTTATTTTGGGGTTCATACAGGAAATCCTCTACATGACTGACTCAGTATTCGTGCAAAAGCATCAGACACACAATAACAAAATTTGTAACAACTTACAAAACTGCTATAAGCCTATATAAATTTCATTAGATGAGATCTCACGCTGTCTGTCAAGATGGAATCATTCCACACAGTACATTATTAAAACTAGATGCAGTATTTCATTTATAATTAAAATTACTATTACTATCTATTTTCTTCATCAACACACTTGCTGTAATCCAGCACAACAGGCCATACAAAATAGAAAATGAATGTGTTGAACTGTTACCATTCAGTTGCTACTGCCCTAAACCCTTAGGTCATTTAGATCAAAATCAGCGTATAATTCAAACAACAGTACTGTTTATATTCAAAACTCAGTTAAATATATATGTAATACAATAAGGTACAAATTTTCTCAAGTAAAATCACTACTAATACTAAAATGTATGGTAATAAATATTTTATAGAAATAACTCAAGTGATTATACAATGTAAACATTATTACATACTTAGTTTCATACACAAGCTTAAATTGTAGCTACCAGTTAAAATACAACAACACAATATACAATGCAGGATGTAATAAAATTTACTTAAATATGCTTCTTACAGTAAAATCTCTATTTAATGAGTCACTATCTGAATGGCTTTTCCTGCATTAAACTGAGGTTTCCAGTAAATAGGGGTTACAGAAAATTGCATTAAGAAACTATTCACCTTATTACAGGACTTACCGTGCATAATTATGATAAAATAATTCCTTTGCATAAGTAGTGAAAGTGGCTGTTTCCATACAAATAAATACAATCACATAGTCTGTAATATCAACTAATTTCCAAAATTATTAATAATACATGAAATAAACAGTGAAACAACCTCAGCCAAGAATCAAAGGAACTGTGATACCAAAAACAATGTTGTTCCAGTGCATGTTCAATATGTAATGTCACTCACCAGAGATTATGGTTATGCAGTAACAATTTCTGACAGCAACAGAATATGAATATCTACTGTTGTTTAGAGCATCATCATATCAGAGTGGGGTGTGAGATGTGGAAGGTCAAAAATTTCCTGTGCTAAATGTGGGTTCTTACTAACACAAAATTTACTTAAATACGGAAAAATTAACAGTGTTTATATTGGGCTACAGCTAGAACCTGAAAGAACATTCACTAAATACGGGATTTCACTACGTAAAAGCTAAAACAATAAATAAAGATTTCAGACCTAAACTATGTATGTAGCAAATACTTTATGTTTATAGTTGACATTTTTAGAAGTCATAATTATACTGTCAGATCAAAGTAACAGTGAAAATCACAGACAGAAGTAAATACAATACTAATAATATACAAATAACTTACCCTTCATAAATATAGATTCGAGCATCTGGATTTCATTCTAAACTTAAAACCTACCACATACTTTATCAGGATTACTGAACAGTCATTCTCAGTTGCACCATACAAATGCTAAGTAGCCATTCATCATAAACACAGCAAATGCTGCACTGTATTGGCACCTTAGGTATACATAAAATTATGAGATTTGTGATTTTCTATACACTTGAATGGAAACTAGTTCATTCACATGAAGGAAAATGATTGATGACAAGCTACATTAGTTAAACACAGGGACAACTTTACCTTTTACCTTTTCCTTAGTTTGTGCCATTACAAGAAATTTAAAGAACCACAAGGTACTAGTATGCCTGTTCACATCAAAGCTATATCTACGGAACAGCATGAGCACCTTTACTCTGAGGGCTAACTTGGCTTTTACTTTTCAAAAATATATTTTATTTGTAAAGATAATATTAAATTTGATTTTGCAATTTTACCTGATCCCAAGTCCTTTGTACTTAAAATACCTTCTGGTGATTGGTACTTTCATTTCAGGCTACAAATATGTCTATTACATTAATATGAATCCACAAACACTGTGAGTGTGTCACATAACAGAGTGTTAAACATGGACACATAAACAGATACATTAAGATAACACTTACTACCAAGGACTATGAGAATGTCTTACTGGTATAGTCTCTTTCTTTATGATGTGTATTTGTACCAACCGTCTTACAGTGCACACAATTTCACCTATCTCTTCACTACATGTTTCGGCACTAATGTGCCATCTTCAGGTGTGGTTTTATTTACGTCAAACCATTGCACTGTATGCCATCATGTCTCTTTATAAAATGATTAAAATGTAAATATGTCATGTATAATAATAAAATTTATATATTAAAACTTTTCAAGATTTGTCATCTATACGTCACACTTCAAATTCGCAAGTTACATCAATCCTCTCCTATGGGAGTAGTCTTCCTATATTCTTGTGTATATTCTGTCCTGTGCTGTGTCCTTCCCTTGTGACTGCGTGCATTGTATTGCTTTCTTTAGCTTGTTAACTTGTATTCTATTCATGGAATGTACATTTTATTCTAGAAGAAATTTTCAGATTTATGATTTCAAAAATCTAAAATCATTTAAGTCAACATAATTGTTATGCAGTAATAACACCACTGTTACCTGTCATTGCAAGAGATTTTTTGGTAGTGGCCCAACCAAGACTCCTCTTCACAGCCATTTTCCACTTGCTATATCGAGCATCTCTCTCTACAAAGACAAAACCACCACACACAATACGGCTTACATGATGTAATAAATATGTCTTAAGTAATATGAAGTACATGTAACCTCTGATCAGTTGATAATTGTAAATTATGAGAATATTATTACAAAATCTGATAAATGTTAGTAATAACTCTGTACCCACTTATAACACATAGCAGTACACAACAGGATTGCCAATCTAAGCCCCAGCATACTGGGCTTTGTAATAAATCTTTGATAACTTTGTCACATATCATGTCAGTTCTAGGAAATGATGATCACTGCAGCATTTAAAACACGTTTTGTTTTCCTTTGAGCCTTCAGATATGCTATGTACGTAAACAGAGCATGTTTATTATCGCCTTATCCAAACACAAAGTTCATTGTTTTGCTTCAATTACTTTGTGAATACTGTTTATGTTTAGATCTGCTGAATATGAGATAAATCTTCATAACTACCATAGACTTGAAATTGTTAAGTTCTGACTTTTCAGCTTGGGAATTTGGTAACCACTATGTGTACACAAAAGTCAACATTTTAAAACTTTCTGCAAATTTAGGACACTTTGTGGGTCTCAGATATTATATTCATATATTTCATTCCTTCACCCCTGGGGAAAGATCCCCTTATACCCACTGTATAGGAGGCTGGGTGGGCCACTGAACCAGTCTGGACGCTGTGGAGTAGAGAAAATCTTGCCCTGCTAGGAATTAAACCCCAGCAAGATTTTTATCTTTTCAACAAATTCCAGATCAGCTCTGGGGCCCACAGTAGCATAGCTGGTTCAGGCACTATACTACAAGCTGGGAGGCCGCAGGTTCAATTCCCAATGCCACTGGATTTTTCAATCGACCTAATCCTACCAGCCACAATATGGCCCTCATGTCAACTAAGCCTCTAACAGAAATGAGTACCAGGAATCTTCCTGGGCATAAAGGGCAGCCAATGTGTAAGGCTGACAACCTCATCGCCATCTGTGAGCCGACTGTCTAGAAAATGTGGGAACCTTGACATCTCAGAACCATATGGGCCTCCACAGCCTGTTACAGGGATAGCTTTATCTTTCACCTAAAATCACACTAGGGATCACCAGCTGGCAAATACATCTTTATTTTCAACACTGTACTCCTCTCGTAAGCATTTAAGCTTATCGTAAATTCACGCTTCCTTCCACCTACAATTATGACAGTTCAGTTGTTCAGCTGTTTGTTAGCATGATGCCACAATTTTATGTGAAGAAATTGTTGCTGATATTAATGCAGATGCACTCTCAGACATTTCAGATGGTGGACATAACAGTTCACCTTCTAGTACTGAAATTAATGATGAAAATCAACTGAGTGGAAGTAGTGCAAATGCCATGAAAATGGAATATCTGAATCTGATCTAATGAATTGGAATACGATGAAGGAAATTACAGAGTATATTATGTTCCTCATAGCACAGACTTTCCTTCCGACAGCATAAACTACACACCAATAGATGAGCCAATTAGGGGACAAATTGGACTGAATGGACAGACAAAAAATCTAGAGAGAGCCTCTGGGGATTTCTATAGAGCTGATCTAATTATAACTTTCACAAAAAACCAGATCTGTACCACAGACAAAATTCTGAAAAACTGAAATCAACAAAGCAGTAAAGTGGTCATATGTATCAGATGAAGAAAAGAAAAAGCTTTCAGGACTACTGATGTTGATAGGTCAAGTTCAGGTACACAGTATCAAAGACTGTACACTGAGAGATCCAACCACAGTCACACTTACATTCCCTCAAACCAAGAGCAGGAATCACTTTAAAGCAACACGGCAAGCTTCTCACTTCAGTTATTGCTCGAAACAAAGAGAAAGATCAGGCACTCTTCAAACTATGCCCTGTTGAGAAATAATTGATACAGATATTTGGAGCAGTATACAGTCCTGAATAAGGACTGTCTTTAAATGAAGGAACAATACTTTGATTGATCAACTGAAATTTCGGTTATAAAATCCAGGAATAATAATTAAATGTGGTTTACTGGTTCAGGATACTGTGTGAGTCTAGGAGTGGTTATATTTGTAGTACAGAAATTTATACTGCTGAAGGTAAAAAGGCAGAATATACCATCCTCTCAATCACTGATGACAGTTCAGAACAGAAACGCCATCCATACTGGGAAAACTGCTATGAGGGCTGTTCAAATGAAACCTGTTCATGTGTTTGGCTAGACTGCGGTGGTTCTGGCAGTAAACCAGGGCATAGGCTGGCATATGAATGGGATGCCTGCCTCAATATCTATGAGGACTATTTACAGCAGCTTCTATTCCTTTGCACAGAACGATCTCCAAACAAGCTTCATTAGAACAGCACTTAAAAATAGTGTGAACATAGGAGAGACACTCTTGGGTAAGAAAATTGTAATTTTTGCATTAAACAAATCACCAGAGGACAACAATGTAACATTCATAGGGCAGCTAAGCAGCTGAAAAAATGTTAACCCACTTTTTGGAGAAAGAAAAACATTCTCTTACAGGTCTGCAAAGATAAAAGTGAGGATAATGCCCACTGTTCAGAGCAAATATCATTAGTACAAGCAAGAAGGCCAACAAGATATGAGTTCACGAAAAGCGCAATTGAATTGTTCAATGCAATGTAATCACTCAAACCTAAATTTAACATTTAGGCACCAGAGATGAACTGCTTCCTTGGAAATGTAACATAGTACGACAACAGTAAAGTCTTTGATCGCAGATGTTCAAAACAAGCATTCTGAAGTTACCATGTAACATAATAACTAGCAATGTCAGACCATGTGCAGAAATAATGAGCTATTCAGTACATGATAGCAACATGATACCCCAGTGCTAGAGCAAGTAGATGATTGGTCAATATAGAAACTAAAAAACACCTCAAAGTTAAATTCAAATCAATAAAAGTTTAATGATGGGGGATCAACTTTTGGAAACAGAAGCACTCTGAAATTTGGAAGGGTCATGACGCTTGTCTTCTGAAACACTCTTGTATAAGCATTCACAGGGGAAGGATGTAAAACTGTAATAACGCTGGAATAGCTCTTCGAAAGGGAAGGACATAAAAAATTTTGTGTTTGTAAAGACTCTACTTAAAAGTAAAGTTGTTAATAGCGACCACTAGATGTGTGGAAATAATAATAATAATAAAAAAAAGATGTTGGTTAAAAATTACTGTGTTACTCTGCCCAAGCATGATCCAATACACCTGATAGAAGAATGTCTGCTCATGGCGACATTTAGGAGCTAATTACACAATCTGAACCACTGGAGAACATCAAGGCCTGATGGCAGCACAGGAGTGGCTGTAGGGGCAATGATTACAACAAGTACATGAAGAGTTGAAGAAGATGATCCTCCATCTCATTAGTTGAACTCTATTTAGTGCTTTCAGTGTGTAAAAGAAACTGAATCCCTCCACCAAAATCAAATATGAAAAGAAGTTCTGGAAAAGAATTAATTGCCTCCTTTCCTGTGACATGAAATGGGCTGCATAAAAAATGATTGCCATTGCCTAGGAAAGATATGGGGATACAGATGCAGACAGACAGACTGATGGGAGGGATTTATGAAGCACTCTGTTGAGATAGACTCAGGTGCCATGATACATATACTAAGTTTCATAAAGACTGGTTCAGGTATTCATATGTTAATGACTGGGATATACAGACACATAGGCACACAAAGAGAATGGTGATCGCAAAAGCTTACATTTTTTTTTTTCAAAATAAGGAAAGTAGGCTAATTTCTGAATGAACCAGAAGCAGCAAGAAGATGGCGGTGTTGCTTTCTTCCAGGCTTAAATATAAAATTTATTATATCTGAAAAGATTTCAATTTCTAGCAAAATATTCAGTTGAATGAGAGCGCAGAATTATGTTTATCCTTGACACTCTGCACTACATCAGCTTAAAAGTTGAACTGTCTTACCTTCATGAGTAGTAGTGGGAATAAATACATCATGAGTAATAGCTGTCTCAGGCTCCTTATACAAGTCCCAAACACCAATTCCTTCAGCTTGACCTGCAGCCATTGCTACTCCTAGAGCTTCCATTCTGACTAAAGTGGACGTTCGTTCTAAGGAAATGGTGAAAATACATGTAACTCACCATTTACAACACATTCAAACTGTTCCTTAGAATGGGCACTATTTATGTTCTTGGAGGTGTAGTACATTGAATACCTTGTTCCTTATGTGTCAAAAATAAAGTTAAAGAAATACCCCTGTTACCTTTCCCATGTCTCTGTCTGCATGTAACATCTCAAGAACTGCTAAACATAAGATCTGATACCGGACAGTACTACCAAAATTTGTCATTAGATTCCAATTTTGATTATAATAGGAAAATGGCAATGGATACTTTACATAAAATGGCCTAAAATAGACGTAGAGCATCTGATATGTTCAAGGCACTGTTCGTGTACTAAACTTTAAACCAAATCAAAATACAAAATACAAATAATTTTTGCATAAGTTTAAGAGGGTGTGAATCAATGAAAAGCATACTGCAACTGAGTCATTCAGATGGTCCTCTATTTCCATCAAAGGAACCTACACCCTGGAAACCCAAACAGGATCCCATCATGGAGACCAGCAGGGGACTTCAACAACTGGTAAAAATAGTTATCAGTAGTCAAGGAAAGGAGAAGTATCAAGCAAGACAGTGCAGGATTTGTGATGCGCACAAAAAAGTAGTCCAATGAGATATATCTGTAGATTTTGCATTCTTCCACTATACAGAGACTTTTGTTTTCAGACAGTATATTCTATGGTGCAATATTCAGTAATAAGTGCACAAAAAAACAAAAGAAACAAAACGTAGGAATTGCTATATATAATAAAAAAGACATACTGCTTCACAATGCATTAACATTATGTTACTCACCAACAGGAATTCCACACAAGTCAGCCTGTAGCTGCATCAACAGTTTGTTTTCTGCCATCTTGCCATCTACTTTGAGTTTAGTGAGATGGTGACCACAGTCCTTGGCCATTGCTTCTAGAATGTCTCTTGTTTGAAAGCATACTGCCTCCAGTGCAGCACGAATTATGTGGTTCTTGGTTGTAAACTGAGTTAGACCACAAATAATGCTACACATATAACAAGGTTATGAATTAGGAACATTAAAACTGAAACATGAAAGTAAAGATTTTTTTTTTAAACATAAGAGTACCAGACACAAAATCAAAATATTAATAAAACTTCAGCTCTGAAACATAATCAAAATTAATTTTATGCTCTCTGCCTAACAGCAAATACACAGTTCAGAGTGACTGACTTAAAGAAGTAACCATTTTATTTATCTCAGTAGCATTTACCACAGAACACTCTGTCATTTTCAACTTCTGTTTTCTATGGGTAGAGTAGTTGGTTGAGGGGCTATGCTACAAGCCAGAAGGTCATGGGTTCAAGTCCCGATGAGGTCATTGGATTTTTTCATTTGACCTAATCCTTCCAGCTGCACTATGGCCCTGGGGTTCACTCAGCCTCTAACAGAAATGAGCACCAGGAATTAATTAAATAATCTTCTGGGGAGTAAAGCGTGGCCGTCGCGCAAGGCTGACAACCTTACCGCCATCTTTGAGCCAATTGTCTAGATAATGTGGGACCCTCAACGTCTCATAACCATATAGGCCTTCATGGCCTGGTACAGGGATAGCTTTACTTTTTTTATTGGTATAAAACTGCCTTTCACCCAAAACACAGAACACAAGACTGAGAATGATTTTTGTACAGAGTGCCAAAAAGGACACCTGAACCGAAGATAGAGAATTCCAGTAAGATGAGGATGGACAAAATTACACAGGGAGGTGATTCATAACTTGTACTCTATACAAAATACTATTCACTGAAGAAACCCTGGAAGGCAAAATGCGTGGTATATGGAGTACATGAGATGATGAAGACATGTAACTTTTTTTTGTAACATCTGAAGGAAAGATAATTTGAAAGACACAGGCATATACATAAGGATAACATTAAAATAAATCACAAAAAAGTGAAGTGTGAATTGGTTTCAACTGACTTAGGATAGCATTCAGTGGTAGGATCTGTAAAATATGAGAACTTTGTTGACTGAGCAACTATTAGCATGTCAACAGGCCTCTTGCCCCATGGAATTAGTCAGTTCACAAATTCCTCTGTATATTTACTTTATAAAACACTTTCTTAATGCATATTCTTACCCTCGTGCATCTTTACGCCAGTATGGGGCATACAGGCCAGAAAATGCCGGGACAAAATACACATCCCCTGTAGATGGAACATCTGCTGCTGCAGTTTCTGCATCACTGACTTCTTTCACAACATTCAAGTTATTCTTCAGCCACTTCAATGCACTGCCAGCTACAGCTACTGAGCCTTCCAGAGCATATACTGCTGGCGCATTCTTGCCCAATTTGTATGCTACTGTAGTCTCCAAGCCATGGGTGGAATGCACTCGCTGCAAGTACCCCATTCCAGTTAAATCCATTATTTTATAAAGTTCTTAAAAACATCACAGAGTGGCTTCTATTTGTAAACCTCCAAAACCTTCTCAATGGAAACTATATGTCATACAGTACATTCCCAATTATTCGGGGTGGAAAGGAAATTAATTTTCTGGATAATCAGTAATAGAAATATGTAATTAACTTGTGAGTTGGGATTTATAGAATGAAACATACACTGATAAATGTAGTTTACTTGAATGCTACTGGCAGAAACATGAGTGTGGTTTCTCAGAAGCTCCTGTGCCATTTCTATACATTAAAAATAAAATATCAACAAAGAAACTCCTCTCAAATTTCCAGGTACACATTCAAATGGTAAATAAAACTCCCTTCATTTGTATCTTTCCTTCCATAGAAAGTAATTTCACAATGAAGTATATCTTTTGACACTGGACACAGCAGTGAATTTTCTAAACAAAGCCTCCAGATAATCTGTTCTCAGTCAATCAGGATTTATCTGTAATTACCTTCCATGCTAAGAAAATTGCTATAGTAGTAACTTTACTTATCTATCTACCTACCTACCTACCTACCTACTAATGCTCCTACATTCCTCACATCTGACTTTTGGTCATGGTAACTAGAAGGGTGGAATTTGAATGATGACAGGGTCCACAGTAACAAATCTCCAAGTTTATCAGCGAAGAAAAAAAACACAGCATGCAAAAAAAATCCACAATCAATTGACCTCATACTGAACCTGAGCTTTTGATACAGGATGCAAAACAAAAGTTTCCACAGCTCCATGAAAGACTATTAAAACACGATTCATTGGATTATGGTATATTTAAGAATTGTACATTATTCTTTGTTTTCATTAAACTGTTCTAATCTTTGTAAAATATTATTAGGGTAAACGAATCAAGGAGGGTGAGATTGGTGAGACAGACAAAACACCTGAAGATGGGAAATGTAAACAAAATTTTGATCAGAAAAACCAGAATGGAAGAGAAACTTAGGCATATATGGGACATTAATAAAATAGACTACAGGGAAATTGGGGGTGAAGATGTGGACTGGATTTATCTAGCTTAGAATAAGGTCCAGAAGTAGGGTCTTGTCTTGTCTTGTCTTGGGTTCCATTAACCTATTTTCATTCAAGAACTTATATGGTGCAATGATCCTGTCAAGTCAGGTATTTTCACATTAAGAACGAAAATCATGGTGAGCTTCCTGAACAAGCGTGGTGGTACATCATCACAAATAATTCTAAGAAATACTTGTTAATATGATGCCTAGGAGACAGGTGGGAAATCATGCCATGGCAAATATGTGCCCTCAGGAGAACCTAGCAAAATTGCAAATATTTACATCATGGCACAGAATGAGTTAGAGAGAAGGAAATTCTTTACTGACTGCGTGACTATCAATATCTCAACAAGGACTTGTTTCATGGAGGTAATTAGTTAGCCATACTCTTGAAACATCACATTTCTAACCCTTCCGCACGGTCATTTAAATTCCGCGGCCGTCTCTCCGGCGGTAATATATTCAGCTGTCCATTTAAATTTTGCTCGAAAATGATTTATTCATCATTGTTCTTAAATTATATGAGATAGGAACATGAAACTTTCACTAAAATGATCTTAAAAGGTGGTTTTATAACCTTACCTTATAATATGAGCGCCCTGTATCTCGGCAATGGAAGCAGGTTGTTTAGTATTTGAGCAGTGAATGGTACGCCTTGAAGGATGAAACTTTCACTAAAATGATCTTAAAAGATGGTTTTATAACCTTGCCTTATAATATGAACGCCCGGTATCTCGGCAATGCAAGCAGGTGACGCCTTGAAGCATTCGTCTAAACACAGCGCTGGCTCACATTCACACCAATACTGCGTATCTTTTCTTTGGCTCTTTTTTTTAACCACACTTCTGTGCGGCCTTGCCTTCTTCCCCGTGGGGGGAATACAAGAGGAAATGTCTCTCCGTGAGTCGTATAGGTTGCCAGATTAGCTGCAGTAAATTCAACCTTTGTGTTATCATAACAAGGGGTTGGTGCTTCTGCGTTTCAGATTCCAACCATTTTGGCTGCCCCAGATGTCGTAGGGGTGACCACAGAATTCATGAAGTTATTCTAAGAACTGGCTGGTATATAGTGAACGAAAGCAGAGCTTAGCTGGCTCAAAAAAAATATTTATGGTCATCCCTCGAAACGACCACCAAGGTCAGTACGATAAAATGGCGTCAACTGGAGCGATAATACATGAAGGAATGAGTTCTTTTCCCTCCCCCACACACATCCGTATCGTCTCAGGGGGTGACCACAGTGTTCTGCCTTAATTCGTGACGTTTTTCTAAGAACTGGGTGCTATATACTGTGCGAAATCAATCGATCATGCAAGAATAAATTTTTGGACATCCCTCTTCTAAGAATTCCAATTGAGTGTGTTAGTGTGGCCAGCTCAGGGCAATATGATATTATAAACACAGCACATATCACGTCTCTGCTGTTTATAACTTCATAGCAAAGAAAACACGCCATTCATAACAGTAGAACGCTCGCAATAGCCACAGGAACTTTGCTACAAGACAGGCATATGTAACGATGACTTAGCGCTCTTAAACTCGTGTGTCATTAAATGTAGTTCTCCTGACAACAGGCCAGCGAAAAATCTAACAATCTACAGCAAAACCATCAATTATTATGGGCGTTATAACATAGGTGTGCAGCTGGACGAAACATACACGTCGAACCCCCCCAGACGATTTAAATACCTGACGAAACATACACGTCAAACCACGCTGAACGGCTAAACTAGACATAACCTCTATCAAGGAGGAAACTTACTGGAATAATTTCTAAGGGACATAAGTTTCACTAAACTAAGTATGCCATACTTACTGATGATCCAGTGTTGTAGACAAGGAAACATCCTTTACGGCATGTGCTTTTAGCTTGTCCTTCTTTAAAACACCTTTCGCCAACAAGTGAAGATTGTTGGTTACCCAGAATCTAAAACACAAGAAATGACTATTCAAGAACTGGCTTCAATTAACTGCTTAATAACATTACACAGTTGAGCATCAACAGACAAAAGGAAACTCACCGCTGATATGGGGATTCCCTTCAAAGGATCTTCCGTGATGTGACCATATATTTCAGATGAACTACAAATTTCTGGCAACAAGTTTGCAGGAATGTTGAAATACCTACATTGTGACAAGACATAATTAGACGTTCTGAGGGCCACACACACACGTGCGCACATACACACACACGCGCGCGCACACACACACACACACACACACACACACACACACAAAAGGGAAGAGGAGGGGGGAGGAGGAAGGACAAGGAGGAGAGAACAAAAGTGTACTTCATACGTATTCCAGTTTGGAACACACATACTTCTCAGATACATTCTTTGAAATCTTGCATGCCTTGCTTGATGTTCATTTACTTAAAATGCAAACTCACTCTTGCAAAGCTATAAATATTACATTGCATAGTGAGAGATCGTTTATTCCCTGTACTTAATTAAATATTCACTATACCAAAAAATGTTTAACACAGAAGTTGCAGATCTTAATGACAGCTATGTTTCGTTCTGTACCAATTTCTTTGAAAATGAGCTGGATTTTTGATAATATCAATACATTTTTATTTGAATTTCACATAAAATATGGGTTTAGTTGCACCAGCAAAGTAAAAAGTAAAATCATCTCTGTACTCAATTAAGTAGCACAGCACGATGATACGAAGGGGAGCAGTGGTACAGCTCCATGCATTCTTAGCCTCAGCTAGAGATGGAGATGAGTGATCAGCTTCATATGCTGACTGCTTCACCCCCCGCCCCAAGAAAAAAATTCAAGTACATTAGATAGAAGGCTGGCTGGGCCATACAATAAATTTTGACATGTGGAAGAGGGAAAATCTCTATCTGCACCAGGAATCGAACCCCAATCCCCAATATCAAATTTAATTGAAAACTGTCCATTGGTTTTAGCAAAATATATGGATGGATGGACATAACCTCTCCTATACACAGTTATTCCACAACCTTTGTGCAAAAACTGCATACTATTCAGTACCAATTTGTTTATAACTGTTCTCTTTACTTTGCTTCCTCATTCAGCTAAAAATCTCTTAAGATTACACCAAGTTCCCAAATAAGAACTGGGGATAATCAGTCTTTATCTTCTATTTCATAGGCCATGACAACAAAAGTGGGAGTGAAGACAGCTACTTCAGATTTATGCAGAGATTATGGCTTCTCTACTTTACTGGCGTGACTTTAAATGATNAAATGTGTTATAAGAATGAAGAGGTCAATACATCACAATTTTCTTAGTCTCTGAACTAAAACCTCCATATTTTAAAATTAAGTGATGAAATACATTATTTGGTTTCATAAAAATGACAATTACTAATTCTGTTCAGGAATTAATACACTATCCACATGTAAAATTCACATATTCATCGCTACAGTAATTGGTTATTGTACATTTTGAATCCTTCAATAATTACGCACCCAAACAAGCCATGAATCCACTGTGCCAAAACGACAGCGCTGTTCTCTGACTGCTCTGCGCACAGCAGAAACATTATCAATCAGCCATCGCATCTTAAGGGCACTGAAGTAAGGGCTAATTGGAAGCCCACAAAGGGGCATCAAGGCATTTTTGCTGTTTTCTGGCACTTTTGCCAAAATGTGGTCAACAGTTGAGTCAGTACGGATATCAGACCAAACTGCAAAAGCAGAGAGTCAGTATTTACCCATGCACATTCACACACACATAGAATTAATCAGTGCATTTACAAAACTTCCAGCATTCATGGAACCCAAAAATTCTTTACCATATTCACCAAGTCTGTATTTCTGAACCTTATTCTAAGCTACATTCACACCCTCACACTCCATTACTTTATACTCCACTTTACAATTAACCTACCATCTATATTTAGGTCTCCCAAGTGATTTATATGGAGAGGAGCCTCCCTGAGCATCCAATATATGCTCAGTTAGTCAAGATTCCCCTGCCTCCCACAATGGAATTCGAAATTTTATTGTCATATTTAGCGGCCTCTGTAGTCTAGAGGTAACGTTTCCACCTCATGACTCGTGGTACGCGGGTTCAAATACCCGGTGGAGATCGTCGAATTTTTAAGGGCAGAAAAATTCAGGGAACAAGTCCTCTGGGAGGGACTTCAAGCCGTGTGTCCCGTGTCATAACTTTACGGCACGTAAAAGAACCTCATATCTCCAAAGGAGATCACTGAGCCAAATTCCAGGACGTTTCCCGCCCAACAATAGTCTCTAAGGCCTCAGATAGATGGGGGAAGCATTATAGACACCGCTAAAGCAAGTGGAGGCTGAACTCGCTTGCTCAGCGGGATTGATGGTATGGACCATTATCAGTAGGGTATAGAGACTGGTAGAATATCATAGAGGGAAGCACAATGGACCAATACTGGTCTAAGTGCATGGGGAAACCCACCCTCTCCAATAACTAACTAACTATTGTCATATTTAATACAACCAGCCAACAGAAAATATCTAAAGCCAGATTAATTCTGACCACATCCTACAAATTATGCAACACTTAGTTAAATCATCTGTTCTGAATAACTAGAATGGACAAATTTAAGGTGCTGGGGATGTGGATGACAAATTCAAGGCCTCAGCAAACAAATACATGGGATTACAATTTATTCTTCATTTTATACCTACCTGGTTTTGAGAGTTCAACAAAATTTAAGGAACTGATATGTCCTTATGCAGGAAAATTTTCAAAAATGTTCTCTGATTTTGCAACAATTTTATAAAGTAAAGTTAAAAAGTAAGTAAAGCTATCCCTGTACCAGGCCGTGAAGGCCCATAGGGTTGTGAGACATTGAGGGTCTCACATTATCTAGACAACCGGCTCAAGGATGGTGGTAAGGTTGTCAGCCTTATGCGCTGGCCACGCTTTACTCCCCAGGAAAATTATTTAATTAATTTCTGGAACTCATTTCTGTTAGAGGCTGAGTCGACCCCAGGGCCACAGTGTGGCTGGACAGGTTAGGTCAACTGAAAAAATCCTATGACCTCATTGGGACTTGAACCACGCGACCTTCCGGTTTGTAGCATAGTGCCTCAACCACTACTTTTATAAGAAATATAAATTCATTCCACATAAGCATCCAGGAATAGGCCACTAAAATTTACTGCAGATATAATGCACTTCCATCTGCCTGCACATAACCATTACATCACTACGTTATTTACAAGGAAAGATACAGGAGGTGGAGAACAAAATTCATGGCTTCAACAAACCAATTAATAGATCACCATTTATTTTTAGTGTTATACCCACTTAGTTTCATGAGTTTACCGTAATTAAAGGAATCTCTAAGTTTTTATACTGGTACATTTTTATAATGTTACACTCATTTAGCAATAAATGTATAACTTAAATAAACAGATAAAGAATCTATTAATTACAAATATTATCCTGTAGCATAAAAGGTTATTAACTCCATCCAGTGTGATTGATAAATGATATATATGAGTATACAATTGATAACTAAATAAATTAAAAAGGAGGGAAAAAATATCAATCACACTGGACGGAGCTGATAACCTTTTATAATGTTGCTAGTGTGAGATCAGGATGAACCAAAAAAAAAAAACTATCTTGTAGGATGTGACACCATCTACTCCAATAAACTTCTACCAGATTACACAGCCTCACATCCCAGAAGACAGTACTCTTAACAGTTAGTGTTGTGAGAACTTTAGATCCAACAAGAAATTAATTATATTTATTTTTTTGCATCCTATTGTGCGTCACATATGAACGATATATTTGAGAGTCATCATCACAACAACCGATCATAAAACCGATATTAAAATGTTTGATATTCGGTTTATTTTCATCCCACTGCATGTTTTGATCATCAGAGGTCATGTAGTGGGATATAAAAAACCGAATATAAAATATTTTAATATTAATATCAGTTTTATAACCAAATATAAGCAACTGTTGTGACACAGGCTCTCAAATATACTGTTAAGAAATTAATTATTACCACCATGGCACTGTTTTTTCCAAAACATCTAGGAAAAGGTGAATAATTTATCAGAGATGTAATACATTCCCACATGTCTTAACACAACCATAAAATAGTCATATTCCCACCAGCCCAAGAGTAACAACTCACCAATGGCATTGTACAGTGGTTCTCCAGTGACTGCATCCCATGCAATGGTAGTTTCCCGCTGGTTAGATATTCCAATTGTGACAATATCTTCGACACCATAGCCCAGCTTTTCAAGACTTTCAACACCACAACTGATACATTCTTTAACAGCACGCAATATTTCTATAGGGTTATGTTCCAGCCATCCTTCTTGTGGACATATCTGCGTAATTCGTGCACTGTACGAGACAATTTCTCTGGTATGCTCTGCTTTATAGACCTGCCAAACAATACAAAGTAAACAATCTTTGTAGCTGCATGTTCATGAAAAGCTTTTTGTGGCTGTAATGCAATGCAGGTGATTTATTTAACAGATCCATAATAAATGCTGTGAACAAACCACAAATCGAGCTTCTTCTGTTCCTTCATTGATGACTCCAATCAAAGGCTCATTCTTCTGTGAGGAGTTCGATGACACAGGCATTGCAACTGGAAGACACAAATAAAGGAAATCTAATGTCAAAATTAATTTAAAATAACAGACAACAATAAAATGCTAACATGCATGCAATCATTCAAAGTAATCATACAATTTATGCCATTTTTTCCATTCTTTGTCATTTAGCCTGATAAAGGAATGTTTATTTCTCAAGTTCTTTTTAATTCCAAACAGGAGACAGGCCAGCTCAGTCAATGAAATGATTAGGTTATGGATTGGACAACTGAGGAATAGATGTTTGATTACCAGCGAGGGCAAGAAACTTTTCTCCTTTCCACAGCATCCAGATCACTTTTGGAACCTATCCAGCTTCCTATCCAATGAGCACCAAGGACTCTTCCCCAGGTGGTTAGGGGCCAGGGGGTAAAGCTGTCCATTGACCCCCATTCAGTGATAAAATTATCAATGCATGCACCTATATCTCTACTCCCCCATACATCTTCATGGTGTGGTGCACAATTAAGTACAGGGACAACTTTACTTCTACAATTTTCACATTTGCCAGTTGACAATATCAAATACCTGGGATTTTATTTAGATCATATATCTCAACTGTTCTCTCAATGCTGAAAGAAGATCAAAATTCGGTTGAAGTCTACCAAGCTACATGGCAATACCTCCCAGAAGATTGCATTCTTCAAGACTTTTTTACTTTTTTTAAAGGCTTTAAAACACCTTCAACAATTTACCATCTCTAAGTCATCTACTATTATTAACTACTGAGTAACAATTCAGTATCACTATAGTGTTATGACAGTGGGAATGAAAAGAGAAACAAAGTTTACAACAATAAAGGCTGGAATCACCTAGCTTTATGTAACCGCATTAATTTTGAAGCAGAAGAGAAATATACTGAGACATGACTCCTAGAAGGTGGAACAGTGGAAGCAGAAGAAACAGTAGTTGCTAGACAAGGGTGAGGTAAACATGTTTCTGTGGCAATGAAAACATGTAAAACAACAGAAGAACCATGGGAAGCTGCCTGGAGACAGAAAAATATGGGTCATGAGTCACACAGGGCCAGAAATCAGGAATAACTGTGTTAATAGGGGGCCAGCATCAATTAACCAGACTGGCAGTCAGTTAGGAGACAGAAAAGTATCGTCGTGGGTCCCATGGGTCCTGGAACCAAGACTGACTGTGCTGGTGAAGACCTGCAACAATTTACTCAAAATGTGAAATTCTGAGTAGTGAGACAGAAAAATATGGTCATGTGTACTGAAGGGCCTGAAACCAAGGATGACTGCACTGGCGAGGAACAGCAGGAAATTACCAGAAAAGCAGACAGGCAGACAGACAGGCTTGTGCATAAAACACTCATTGACAGTAGCAAAATCCTAACAAATTAGATCCATGGAACAGAATCCTTTCTGAGTAGTGGCAACCAGTAAATGTTCAACTGGCTTAGAACCTGACAGTCCATTACCATGTTCACAGGAAACTACCATTGGGCTTCATCCTGAGCCAGATATATCCAGTTCACATGCACAGGCTCTAGCTGAAAATGTGTCATCTTCCAGCTTGGGGTTAGATGAGGGCTAGCAACCATATAAATCTAACATGTCACAAAATTCCCCAGCAAGTTCTGTCTTGAAGTTGGAAGAAAATGGATTTACATAACTTCAATCAAGAGTCCACTGAACACAGTTTTGTAACAAAATGACTATGACAAGTAGACCTAATTTTGTAAGAAAATTACCCTAATGGAAGTTAGAAGATTCTGGTTGAAGATTCTGAAGTGAATGAGAAAATGAGGTTTTGGCCTTATTCTTGAATATTCTCAGCTGGCTCCCAGATTTGTTAGTTGAAAGAAAACTGATTTATGTAGCTTCATTAAAGAATCAACTGAACATAATTTTCTTACAAAATAACATCAATAAGTAGACCTACTTATATAAGAAAATTACCCTAATGGCAGTTACACCGCTGTTGGCTGAAAATTATGAACTGTATGAGAACTTATGTTTTCGGCTTGTATTCTTGACCATTTCCAGACGCTTCCTGGATTTATTTAACGGTGTCATATCAGTGCCAAAGTTATATTTGGAGTGAGAAAACTAAGGTACCATTACTCGGATGACATGCGAAACTTGAACAAAATATAACAGGCCAAACAAATAAACTCCACACACAGTGAGGTCTCTATACCCATAGTTTAATACAGACACTTTCCAGAGTGGGCCATACCATAGCTCAGGCAGTTAGTCGCTGGCTTTCCACCATGGCGGCCCGGGTTAAAGCCCAGGTCAGGTCATGTGGGATTTGTGATGGATAAAGTGGCGCTGGGGCAGGTTTCCTCCAAGTACTTCGGCGTCCCATGCCAATTGTCATTCCACCAACTTCTCCACGCTCATCATCTGTCTTCCAGGGCTCATACAATAAGCCAGTTAGTGGCCAGCATACCAAGTGGACTCAGTCTCCTCCCCCCCCCCCAAAAAAAGTTTCAGAGTGACTGAAGGCAAACAACGCAGGAAAATGTTGAGAGCATAACATGGTCTCAAGCAGGCCAGGCCCAAGATATCTTCTATGACAGTCAAGAAACAGGCTGAGCAAAATCAATGGGCTACAATTTGTCAACATATAATTAGGTAAATATTAGTAAACAGTGGTTAGCTTAGCGGGAAGAGAGAGACCTCCTCGCGGCATCAGGCATGCTAATAAGGCACAAGGACCCACCACCTGGTCGGGATACAACGAAGAAAACAAGACTCACTTTGCCTCAGTATCATTAATTCACGATATGAAATACCATACAGAATTCACACAGAACTGTATGTAATTATATGTCAATATCGAGCGAGCCAACATACAGCCACTGCAAGATTTATCTTGCAGCTTGGGGTTCTCATTATTCTTGGCAATGACCGACGAAGAGCAAGAGTCACTGGACACCCACAGCTACTCTGGAAGGATCAACCTATATTACTGAGATAAGAAACCTACAGAAAGGTGCAAACCTTGATGATGATGATGTTTTCGTCGTTGTTCATGGTGGAGGTGGTGTCTACAGTCATAATACGAGCCCTACTTTCAACACAGATTAAAATATAAACTGTTACTAAATTTTATTATGCTTACAGTTGTTGTGGCTTTGCATAATTTTATGTATATGGTAATTTCTGGCTAAGGGCCATGTAACCGAAACATGACATGGAAATTGTACCCTATCACTCATGCACTCATGGAGCTGTGCCTTTCTTGAGAAGCTGCCAATAGCTGCCAGCTATTCAAGAACTTCTCATCATTTTATGGAACCATAAGGTTCATTATCGTCTTCACAAGAGCCCTCCACTGCACCCTATCCTAAGCCAGATCAATCCAATCCATCCCAGCCTATCCCTCTAAGATCCATTTTAATATTGTTCACCCGCCTACACCTTGGTATTTCAAGTGGTTTATTTCCTTCTGGCTTTCCCTCCAATATCCTATATGTATTCCTCTTCTCCCTCATTCGTGCTACATGCCCCACCCATCTCATCCTCCTTGACTTGTACATTCTAATTATATTTGGCGAAGAGTACTAGTTGTGAAGAATTATACCGCATAGAAATAAAATTTATGTGACGGTACTTGGCGACCATTTAGAATCCTACCTACTGTTGCCGCAATAATTGGCTCTCAGAAAAAATTAACTTGGGTTACGTCATTTTAGTTTACGTCAATATGTTTCGATCACATTCGCTTGCAGAGGGCTTCGCGGAGCAACTGCCGTGTGGTTTGGTGCGGAATCTGCAAACTGATACTTTGATTTAGCAAGTTAACCCTTTCCATGCTAAAAGTTAGATGTCTCATTTACAGCCTCTATTCTCCTGTCTTGCAACACTGAAGACAACAGTGTACCGCCACCTCCAGAAATGATATACCAATTATCTGCAGTTCTTTCGCTANAATTTGAATTAATATTAAAAATCGGCTCAATTATATGTGGTTACGGAGGGCGCCAGAATAATACACCATGGGCGCCGCGTTGGACAGGGCTGCCGTATCTAGCACATTCACCAACAGCCGGACATGCAGGTGTGGCTCTGACGTCACTCTAGAATATGGCTACCAGGTCAGTATCTTATAGCATGTAGATCCTTTGCTAAGCAATGACTCTGTGAACAACGGCCGTTGTTAGGTAATGGCAGTAAACAGTAACATTGGGATGTTCTCTACACGGTCCGAGCGATAGTCACGTAAAGCAACAATATAAGAACTGTTGGGAGATTTTTCTATGCGGTCCTTCCGAGGTGTTATAAGAACAAGTCTAGAGTTTAGTTACTTGTGAGACAGTCGTCGGCCATTAAGGGCATGAACACGGAAGCTGAGGGAGTTACGGTGTTGGAAGCCGTCATCAGGAGACAACCGACGAGGAAAGAGTAGACTGAAGACAAAGTGCGTGATGTAGTGAATTGTAAAGTGTGTGAATTAGCGATAGCGCTATAGTTACCTGTGTTTATGTCATGTTTGAGTTCAATGAATCCAATTACCAATCCAAACCCCATCTACAGCCACTCATAAACGTGACAATATTATATCAAATTATCATATGGACACGCACAATTTTATGCAAATAGCTGGTCTCGAAGACGAGGAACCGAGTGTTTGAACTATCTCCAATAAGCAGGAAACTAACTAGTGTCGAATTTCAATGACCAGTTCACCTTTGAGCACTAATGCAACCTAGCACGCGACCTTGGCCACGTCTCTCAAAAGATAAACAAACAGACGCGCAATAACAATTCAGTAGAGATTTCCTGAACTTTGTTTGGTGCTCTCAGTGTACTAAGACAATCATCAAACTGAATTTGAGTAGATCACATTCGAACTTCTCACCAGTTGTAGGTATGTTAAATTAAAATACTAATTATACGTATTAAGAAATTTCCATATCGGTCAAAATCCTCTATTTACGAAAAACAGAGAGCCACGAAACATGATATAAAATCATTTGAATCTTTGCCGGAACACCAACCAAACTGACTGCGACTGTCTTTTTGTTAGTTTCATCAATCCCTTCAGGCGCATGCCCGAAAATTTACTTGAAGGTGACGTCGACTCCTGTTCAATTTTTTCACACTCATAGAACAATAATTCTCTTGTATCATTCAATACAAAATAACCTCCGCTGATCATACGCTGGATTTAAATAACCTACGATTCATCTTCAGTACATAAAAATCAATAGATTTTATCACACAATACTTTCGCTTGCTTGTTTTATAGTCAGTAACACATCGCTTTGTCCTGTGATTAAGGTCAAAGGCGTGCGTATCTTTTTTTTCCCCCCTTGGCACTAGAGCCCCAGTGGGCCTAGGCCTACCTCCATGAACGTCTCCGTTCACTTCGGTTTTTCTAGATCTTAGACATACGGTAGGACTCCTTGGGCGGGTGATCAGCTCGTCGCAAGGCCTCTACCTGTACACAAACACAGAAAAACGCACACAAACATCCATGCCCTGAGTGGGATTCGAACCCACGATCCCGGCTTTCGAGCGAGCGAAGACAGTGCACGCCTTAGACCGCTCGGCTACCGTGACCGGCGGCGTGTGTATCTACGAGTACATATTTTGCTCGGACTGATTACTGTTATACCAGTTAGAATAATAATTTATTTAGTTGGGATATGATAAACTCTGACTGCTGCTTATAAGGTACTGAGTGAGACACGCGTTAAATCGAATCTGAAGTGGTCCTCATCTGGCGTTCTCGCAACGATATAGCTCTTGAAGCAACTGAAAATAAGGGTCGTAAATATGTGGGAAGTGAATATGTAAACCAACATTTCCTCATCTGGCGTTCTCGCATCGTTACAGCTCTTGAAGCAACTGAAAATAAGAGTCGTAAATATGTGGGAAGTGAATATGTAAACAAACATTTTTCTTTTGTCACGATATCTATTTCTGTAAATATTTATTTCTCACTTTCCTTATATTCGTACCGTACGAGAAATAAGTATCGATAAACACCGTGTTAACAATATACGGCGGTGGGCGATGGTTTAAATTATTCATTGTTTCAGAATCAAGTCGAACAGGAACGAGCTTCTATGACCTACTCCGCCAGACGCGAAGGCGAAGACGCTCATTTCTACCGCTTTTCCACATGTTCCGAAACTTTGTCTATTCCATACCAACACAAGAACTGGTTCAGCAAGGACAGCAATCAGACTCCAAACCCTATTTTTTTTTGCACTGGCTCTACAGCCCCCTTGGGCCCTGGCCTCTGATTTTTTCAGTTTCATGATCATTTTACAGCCGATAGGACTCCTTGGATGAGTGATCAGCTCGTCGCAAGGCCGCTACCTTAAACACAGGACAACACATACCAAACATCCATGCTTCGTGTGGGATTCGAAGTCACGATCCCGGCTTCCGACTGAGCGAAAACTACCTTACACCGCTCGGTTACTGTGACCGGCTAAACCATATTCCAGAGGGGAGAAAACAAAAACGACTATTACGGCTCATCTAATTCCTTGAACCGAGTCGGTTTTTAGGCGACGCAAACCTAGTAAATGCATTTACTTTCTATGCCAAGTTTCTTGCAGTCACTATATACAATTCTCATTTCCTCGGTCACATCACAAAATGTCAGAGCTAGGGAATTTGCATAAACACAATCGAATTAATCATCGCTCAACATACGTCAGTATTTCCCAACATTTCTTCTCCGCGACCCCATTCTGTCAAAAGAAGCTACTTTTCTCCTTCTATTACAAGATTCCCTTGAACTGTTACACATTTTTATATTGCTAGACTCAACTGTGCGATCCTTCAGGACATACTTCGCGATCCCCAGGAGGTCGTGACCCATTGATAATCATTAACTACGTAGTAAACAGGAATTATGAAACCCACGTCTCAGAGTTCGCTGTAACTTAGATCTTGCTGACGACTGATGTGTTTCCGGACACGTGTTTATGTTTCGTAATTTGGTTCAAACACTGGATAAAGCATCAAAATATCACCAACGTACCAGGCTTGGAGGCAGACAAGAAAGCGAAGTTCATGGTGCGTATATCACAAGACACACCCCCACAAGCGATAAATGAGCTAGCTACTTCTGTAAGCGTGTTCACGAAACGTAGTAAGCTTTAGAACAACTGAGACAACGACAGTGCAGATTCAACACAATACAATGTTGAAAAATGACACTACCTGTTGACATTGCTGCTGAGGTGGATGCGGATGTGTGTGTCCCCTGAAAATGTTAAACTGTATGGCGGTCGTAGCATGAAGGTTGGTTACCTTCAACATGCCAACGTTACGTCACACAGCAGGTGACTGGTTACTTCACGGTACTTCTCTCACGACCACGCAGTGTTTTACGTAAAAGAGGTAGTGCCGTCAGAAACAAAAGAGAATTTCAAAGCGAAATTTCGGTCATACAGTTTGTTAATCCGATATACATGGCTTAAAATGGGGTCCCGGTTACAGGGACCCCTGCAAACGAACGAATGACAGAATTGATGCTGTCAGTCTTCGACAAACATTTCAACATTTTTGTTCCTGCGGAAAAAAAAGCAGCGGGGAGGATAAAAGCATGAACATGGATAATGCAACAAAGGAAACCGCAACTGCATAACTAACGAGATTGCCTGGCTTACCAGGCACAACTTCCTACGTCCACCCAGCCCCCTCCCCAACACACCTACGAGTACATACATGCAAGCACACAAAGAAATTCTGCACAGGAAGGTGCAGTTCACTGTTCTACGCAAATGTTTCCTCCCTTGTAAGCCCTGTACTCCATCTTCAGGGTCGAAGAATAAGCCAAGCTAGAAACCAGCGTGTACCATACGACAATCGGTTTCCTACCTCTTTCAGCGCGGTTTCTTGGCTTATTCTTCGAGCCTGAAAATCGAGGTGCCAATTTCGTCTGAAACGTAGCAAGCATCGTGCTACCTATTTCATGCTGGTGTCTTGCTTGGTTTATCCTTCAACCCTGAAGATGGAGACACTTTCGTCCGAAACGTCGGTTGATTTTCAGTGGACTACATGGCGTTATATTCCAGAGGACAGAACTTTCCATCGTCATTACTGTTTGATACTGCAGCTATTTCCGTTTCATGCACGTCACTGGATTTCCCATTCCTAACAGCCTCCTTCCTGTAAGATTTGAGGTTTTCACAGAGGTGGCTATGAAGAAAGCAGTCTTCTGGGATGTGGCACCGTGTAGATGTTTTAGGCAAAGGTCAGGACAAACCGGCTCCAGCACTTCTCTGCTTAAAATCCAGCGATATGATTAATTCATGTCTTGAAAAGTTATGATTATACTAAAATGCTGAGAACTAAAAACATGGATATAGCAAAGACTTTGCGCATTCAAATGCACCATTAAGAAATGTGGAAATTACTATACCGACAGGCCAACCTCTCTTTAAAAGCGTTATTCCAACTACGAGTATGCTAACTTTACTATTACTTCGAATTTCGTCAGGTATATTCCTATTGTTTGAGTGTATATCGATTCTGTAAATGCAGGTTAAGAAGATGGAGAAATTACGCAAAAACTGTAAAATAGCCAAGCCCTTATAAACCGTAACTTAACATTTTATCAAGATTGTGTCAAGAAGAAAATATTCACCAAATTTTTAGGATACAAAAGTATAAAAGGAAACATTTTATTAACTAGTTCCATAGAAAATTAGCATCTGAAATGATAACACTTCATAAGCAACATGTCAGAAGAAAAAGTATACTGAATTTCGTCGATCAGAAAATACTAAAGTCCGCATTTTAAAGATCCTGCACTGAATGCAGAGAAAACTCACCGAAAAGCGTTTACTACGCCGCGGCGTCTTCTCTTCGTCAGACTGTCAAGAGCGACTTTGTTCCCAAGCTTTTAAACCATTCAAACTTTGTTTCAGGGGTCATACTGAAGTCGACTAGTGTGTCCCATAGGTCCGAAATATCACATGATTATAAGATAAGCATGTTAGACTCTCATCAACATTGTCTTGTATCTTGTACTGTCGGACGGTTACGTCCGGCTACACAGTTACTCTGTGACGTAGAACGTCATATAACAGACATCAACATATCGAAGTTCAAGAGGACATACGAGTTATCAGAATTCTTTAGAAAGGCGTGCATTATGGATCCTCAGAGTTCGCTCTATCTGTTCCTAGAATAAACGATAATTACTTGTCACAAAAAACAAAACAAAACAAAACAAAAGTAATGAAAATTTCGAGACAATCAACCCCAGTCACAATAAAGATAGACCAAAAACAACTGGAGAATGTGAAATGTTTTAAATATTTGGGTAGCTTGTTAACAGATTATGGAAGGTGTACTAGTGAAATTAAATCCAGGATTGCCATGGCAAAAGCTGCATTTAGCAAGAAGAAGAATCTTTTTAGCAGCAAATTGGACGAAAATTTTAGGAAGAAACTAGTGAAATGCGACATTTGGAGCATAGCTCTGTATGGGGCTGAAACATGGACACTTAGGGCAGTAGATCAGAAACATCTGGAAAGTTTCAAAATGTGGTGTTGGAGAAGGATGGAGAAGATCAGTTGGACCGATTATGTGAGAAATGAAGAAGTGTTAATTAGAGTCAGTGAGCAGAGGAATATCCTACACGAAATAAGAAAACGGAAGGCTAATTGGATTGGTCATGTTTTACGCAGAAACTGCCTTCTAAAAGAAGTTATCGAAGGAAAGATAGATGGGCGGATAGAAGTGACAAGAAGACGAGGAAGAAGACGTAAGAAGATGCTGGATGACCTTGGGGACAGAAGAGGATACTGTCATTTGAAGGAGAAAGCTCTAGATCGCATTAAGTGGAGGAATTGTTTTGGAAGAGACTGTGGACCTGTCGTCTTGACAGATTACTGATGATGATGACTTGTCACAAAGTTTAAAGTAAAGCTTACCACATAAACTATAAAAACATAAAAACAACAATCAACATCCTGGAAATAAGAAAGAAAATAAATTCGTGTTCAAGAAACAGTTAACACAAAAGAATCCGGCCAATAATAGAAGAATCAGACAAAAAGATGCGTGCTCTACTACAGAAACAGACACTAAGCTGAATACAGCATACGACACTTTCAAATTAATTTTAAAAATTGGTAAAATTAATTTTTAAGTTTTAGTTATATTTATTATATTTAAATCAACGTCTAGCAGTTAGAATATAACTGTACATAGAGAGTAGTTATTGTATAAATAAGCCTATCTATGTAAATATGATTACACGCTTTAAATTCAATAATGAAAATGTGTAAACCACAACACCTGAGGATGACCATATAAGTGTCGAAACATGTAATGGAATAAAAGTCAATAAATCATAGCTGCGCTGACGGTGAAATCTGCCAAAACATGGAACTACAATGCACACAATCACATTAAAACAGTCTGCGTTAGAAATAAGTATGCACCTATCATTTGCGAATTTCTAACAGAGCAGCGATGGTCTTCGGTCGGAGTTCCACTACTGAAAATGAAGATCTACATTACGGTGTGCAGTTGTCGGTGGTGTTCTTCATTCAGGAGTGGCTAAGTTTATATTATAAAGGCCTATACAGGATTAAATTAAAAAAAAAACAGAACAGAAAACTAAATATTCTGTAGCATCCTTACTTGAAAGACGAGGGCAAGAAAAGTAGGGGAACCAGCTTAGAAGAATGAACTTCATCATCTACCAATTCAAAATGGAAAATTCTACCACACAAGAAAATGTAATGAAAAATCAGACGAAATGGACAAGATCGAAACATGACTCCCAATGAGCAAAGCCTTAAATGAAACAGACGTTAAAGTTTATGCTGATGACAGTTAATGGGTAAAGCTAAAAAGCTAAAGTTGCCCCTGTGCTCAACTAATTAAGCACTAAGCCAAGAAAGTGCATGAGTGAGTGACTGTAGAGGTCCATGTATTCTTGACCGCGGCACTAGTTGGAGGTGTGTGGTCACTTTCACGCCCTGGCCGCTTTACCACCGGGAAAAGAGTCCCCGGTAACCACTGGATAGGGAGTTTGCTGGGCCTCAGAACCGGTCTGGATGATATGCAGAGCAGATAAATATTGCTCCTGCCAGGATTCGAAATCCGACCCTTCACCGTCCAAGTCCGTTGGCAGTCATTATAATATTACGATAAAATGGTAAAATGTTCCTTCTGTAACATTACACAGGCCCACATTACATGTAGAGTTAAAAACAAGCAGTTCAGGAAAAAAAAATGCAGATTTAAGGGGGTTACGCAGGTGGGCAATTTAAGGTGTTACATAACGAGGAACTTCGTGTATAGAAGTAATTTAATGTTCCTATAATAGTGAGTGCCGGTCACGGTAGCCGAGCGGTCTAAGGCATGCACTGTCTTCGCTCGCTCGGAAGCCGGGATCGTGGGTTCGAATCCCACTCAGGGCATGGATGTTTGTGTGCGTTTTTCTGTGTTTGTGTACAGGTAGAGGCCTTGCGACGAGCTGATCACCCGCCCAAGGAGCCCTACCGAATGTGTAAGATCTAGAAAAACCGAACCGAACGGAGAAGTTCATGGAGGTATGCCTAGGCCCACTGGGGCTGTAGTGCCAAAGGAAAAAAAACAAAAGTGAGTATGGCTATGATGCCGAGGGGCAGGAAATGAATACATAGTTCAGATTGGAAAACTAAAAAAAAAAAAGACTAATTGGGACACTCGGGCGTAGATTTGCAAGCAGTCCGGCAGACAACTCATAAATCATACTTTCCTACTGCACAGAATTGCTGTGCTACAAATCCCGACGTTAGAATCGTATTTAAATAATTTAAACTTGTAATCGATCAACAGTTTAGAATTTAGATAATGGTTATCCTGATGAACTCCCGCGCATATGGTCATAGACTCGAAACCTAGCCGAGCCAACAGTTTTCATTACAAACGTGAATATGTTACATCTATTACTATTATTATTATACTATAATCATAATTATATTCACTGTTGTAAAGAACTCATACTAAGGTACACATTTTGTGTTACATATGTCAGACATATCCTCAAAGTTTAGCCCCATCCTGACTTACTAACAGAATTTAATACAGAATTTGTAGGCCTGCTTATAATCTATCTCCAGACAAAAT